CTCACAGTGGAAAAGGCCCCCCACCAAAAGTTTTTCGTCTCGGGTCAACATGCGCGTTGCTTTCAAACATGTGCGTCAGTCTTTTTTTTTTCTCTGTTAGAGCTGAAACATCACCCTCTATTTCCACACTGCCACAACTTTTTTGTTGATTCGTTCGTCAGGCTGATGGCCTTGCACAGATTTTAGTGAAGGAAATATGTCACAAGAGGTCACAGCTAATCTCACTTAGAGCATTGTGGGTAAATATCTACCAGGCACACAAGTGCGCTCAATGCGTTACACAAACAGTGGTTATCAGTTTGATATTTTTTCTTGTTTCTCATTGCTGAAAATATACTATACTTATATACTATTTGTTAATCCAAATTGATCAAGGTAACCGATTATTATTTGAAATATATTACCAAAAGACGTGATCAGTGATACTTAGTGAGAAGATAAATTATACCAAATTATACTGTGATTGTACCAAGGCTGTTTTTTATCATCTAGCCAACACTTTGCCCATGTCAAAGCATTGCCATCGGCCGACCCAAAAATTTAAATAACATTTTGCTCTCAGGAAGTGATAACCTCATAGTCACAAGTCGTGCACAATGTAGCCAATCACAGTGCAAAGCCATCAGCCCTTCCCAACACACTGTCCGGGTGCGGGGAAACAAGCAAATTTTGCGGGCAGCTTGATCTTTGACTTAAGGTGATAGATCCTGACAAGATTGATGTTGGACAATGAAAGCAGACTATGGATACTAAGTTGATTGTTGTCGGCTTATAATCATATAATAAAGCTGGTCTAGTTGCATGACTCGATAACACCTGTCTGCAGTTGCGGTAGCATCAGTCTGACCAGTGACAAACTGTGTTTTCGGGGATCGAGACCTAAGTCAAGTTTAAGGTGGATAGCATGTTATATTGGTGAATTACCATTTTGAGAAAATGCTTACCATGCTAAGGGAGTTTTGTTACTTTTTCATTAATAAAAACTGGAAGTGGGAATGTGATGACATGCCATCATATGAATTTCTATATTTTAAGTGTACGTGTACTTTCCAGTGAATAGAATGCAGCTGGTAATGGTGCTGCAAATGTTGATGAGGAGCATGTAGATGATGTTGATGACAATACTGGTTTAAAAACATGAAGTTGATACAGATTTTCTGCGTAGAAAGATCACTACATGTGACGACACCACACTTTTTTTTCATCACGACCAACAGAGAGCAGTATAGGCCATTTTAACCACTTCGGACCGGGGCATTTTTCAAC